AATGACAGAGGACGGTTGAAAACAAGCAGGAGGGGTGTTTATGTTTTTGTGGTCTTATGATCAGTGTAAATGTTCTGGGATGCACTGTGGTGCGTGTGTGTGAGTGAGTATCAGTATAACATCATGTGAAACATGTGTGCAAGTGTGAAAGATGTAGAGAGCAGTAAGGCTGGCAGATAGTCACAATCACGAAGATTGAGAACCTGCACATTCAGGTCCTGCCCTTTTTAAAACCCTGAACGAGCACTCAGCCAATCAGCAGCGGCAACACTGAAACAGAATAGCTTAAAAACAGCAGTAAAAGTAGTTGTCTTGATTCAAGTATATTTGGTGTCACGGGTGAAGGAATAGAACTCAAATGCAGAAAACGGTGAAAAATAAATCAGTTTATTTTAAAAAACAAATGAGGATTAATAATGCAGGTGACCAGGAGACGGACAGATAAAAAATCATGTAATACCAGACGGGCGGACAGATCAGATCTTGGCAGGGCAGACGTACATATACAGTGCCTTGCGAAAGTATTCGGCCCCCTTGAACCTTTCAACATTTCGCCACATTTCAGGCTTCAAACATAAAGATATAACATTTTAATTTTTTGTCAAGAATCAACAACAAGTGGGACACAATCGTGAAGTGGAACGAAATTTATAGGATAATTTAAACTTTTTTAACAAATAAAAAACTGAAAAGTGGGGCGTGCAATATTATTCGGCCCCCTTGCGCTAATACTTTGTAGCGCCACCTTTTGCTGCAATTACAGCTGCAAGTCGCTTGGGGTATGTCTCTATCAGTTTTGCACATTGAGAGACTGAAATTCTTGCCCATTCTTCCTTGCAAAACAGCTCGAGCTCAGTGAGGTTGGACGGAGAGCGTTTGTGAACAGTAGTCTTCAGCTCTTTCCACAGATTCTCGATTGGATTCACCTTCTTCCACATGTTTGGTGTGTCTCCCAGGTGGCTTGTGGCAAACTTTAAACAAGACTTTTTATGGATATCTTTGAGAAATGGCTTTCTTCTTGCCACTCTTCCATAAAGGCCAGACTGATTGTTGTCCTATGGACAGACTCTCCCACCTCAGCTGTAGTTATCTGCAGTTCATCCAGAGTGATCATGGGCCTCTTGGCTGCATCTCTGATCAGTCTTCTCCTTGTTTGAGATGAAAGTTTGGAGGGACGGCCGGGTCTTGGTAGATTTGCAGTGGTCTGATACTCCTTCCATTTCAATATAATTGCTTGCACAGTGCTCCTTGAGATGTTTAAAGCTTGGGAAATCTTTTTGTATCCAAATCCGGCTTTAAACTTCTCCACAACAGTATCTCGGACCTGCCTGGTGTGTTCCTTTGTCTTCATGGTTCTCTCTGTGCTTTAAACAGAACCCTGAGACTATCAAAGAGCAGGTGCATTTATACGGAGACTTGATTACACAGAGGTGCATTGTATTTATCATCATCAGTCATTTAGGACAACATTGGATCATTCAAAGATCCTCACTGAACTTCTGGAGTGAGTTTGCTGCACTGAAAGTAAAGGGGCCGAATAATATTGCACGTCCCACTTTTCAGTTTTTTATTTGTTAAAAAAGTTTCAATTATCCAATAAATTTCGTTCCATTTCACGATTGTGTCCCACTTGTTGTTGATTCATGACAAAAAATTTAATTTTTATATCTTTATGTTTGAAGCCTGAAATGTGGCAAAATGTTGAAAGGTTCAAGGGGGCCGAATACTTTCGCAAGGCACTGTATGTAGAAGACAGGCAGGCAGGATGGAACTGGATAAAAATCAGAGGTTTGAACACAAACACAACTTTTCATTTTTTTATGATTCGGTTTTGAAATGTTTTTTTGGTCTAGTAGTATGGCTCAATAACTGAATTAAACCGGGCATGGAACAGAGATGGAAAGCAGTGGTCCAAATAAGTAACAAAAGTTTATTCTACATGTATTGGCTGTATCACAGTTAGTTTTTCAAATTAGAACTTTTATTCACCAATTGTCCTTTGATATAGTAACTTTCATCAACAAAACCCCTCTGTGTGTGTCCCTGTATACCAAGGACACTCACAAGCACGCGCACATAAGTTATTGAGTGGACCATGAGACAGAAATAAGAAAAATGTACAACGTTTTTTTACAATTAGATAAATTAGGCAATTTTCAAAAATACGTTTTTGGTTACCTTTTAAAATGAGATCCCTTTTCTCATAAAATCATTCTAGTCCGTATCAAGACTAAAGTATACACAAAAAAGTATCCCAAAAGGCTCCCTAAGTTCACACTACCCTACTGGAGAATCGTGCTGGTCCACACATTGGTGACAGGGTGCATGAGTCAGGGCGCACGCAGATGTAGCCGTCGGAGTCCAAATCCTTGTCAGTCCTAACTGAGATCAGGTAGGAGGGAAAAAGGAGGTCAGGAAAAGGGGTTCACTTGGGCCAACACAACAGCCACTGGATCGATTGAAGGGTGGGGGAGGAGAGAAGTAAAGGGAGTGAATGAAGGAGAGACCCACTCAGATTCCAATCTTGGAAAGTTACATTTTTTTAAACCCGCATGTTGGTGGAAACATGTGCAGCAAACAAAAATGCTCTATATCTCCCCATTACCCAAAATGCTTTGGAGCACCATGAGTAAAAGTCAAGCCAATGGAAGTGGCTTGAACCAAAAGTCAAACTATGGAATAATAAGCTAATCAAACGATCAAAGTTAACAAACAATTAGATGAAAGATGAGGAAATCCTTATCAGAGTTTGGCACAACCAATGCGCCAAACAAGTCTGGTGCAATATTTTGCCTGACGCTGCACAAAACAACCAGCGCAAATTAGAATACATTTCAAAACAACTGATCATATTGTGCATTGTTACCTGGGCTGTTTGATGTGTGCGCATGCAGCATGAGCCACTGTTGAAGGGTGACAGAACCAAGCCGTAACGTTGCAAACTGTGCGTAATGTGAGGGGGAAATTAAGGTTTTAGTCCAGCACTATGAATTAATGAATTGAATATGCACAAATATTTAGGTTTATTTGGCAAAGCTCCAGCCCAAATGCTGCTGCCAGCTCCTAGCCAGTGGGCGACGCCAGAGGCAAGAAAGAGTGCAGGTGAGCTTACTACCTTTCAAATGGTCAGGCGGCACGCAATAGGCTACCAGTGGCTCAACGGGCCTACCACCTCATAATAATAATAATAATAATAATAAATTTTATTTATAATGCACTTTATATTTGACATCAAATCTCAAAGTGCTACAAACAGCAGCATAAATAAAAGCAAACACATAAAATCAGATAAAAGACTATAAAAAAATTAGCAGTACGCTTTAGTAAAAAGATGGGTTTTGAGTCCCTTTTTAAAAGCTTCCACCGTCTGTGGGGCCCTGAGGTGGTCCGGGAGGGCGTTCCACAGACGGGGAGCAGCGGCCTCGAAGGCCCGGTCCCCCATTTTCTTGAGCCGTGTCCTGGGCGGGAGCAGACGGTGCTGTTGGCCTGACCGGGTTCTGCCTGAGGAGTGTGGAGTGAGGAGGTCAGTGAGGTAGGTGGGGGCATCACCGTGGAGACAGTGGTGGGTGTGCAGGAGGATCTTGTATTCTATACGGAGGTGAACGGGGAGCCAGTGGAGGGTGTGAAGGATGGGGGTGATGTGCTCATGCTTCCGCACCCTCATCAGGACCCTGGCCGCGCTGTTTTGTACGTACTGGAGCTTTTGAAGGCTCCTGCCAGGGATCCCGATGAGGAGTGCGTTGCAGTAGTCCAACCTGGAGGAGACAAAGGCATGGACGAGCTTCTCTGCAGCCGGGAGAGAGAGAGAAGAGCGGAGTTTTGAAATATTACGGAGGTGGAAGAAGGAAGTTTTGCAGATGTGATGTATGTGATTTGCGAAGGAAAGGTGGGGGTCAAACTTGACCCCGAGATTGGTTACAGAGGGAGAGAGGGGAATGCTGTGGCCAAAGAGAGAGATTGAGGTGATGGGAGAAGAGGGAAGTTGATGGGGAGTACCAGTTTGAATGGCTTCTGTTTTTGAGCCATTCAGCTGCAGGAAGTTTTGCCTCATCCATGCTCCTATCTCCTCCAGGCAGGAGGTAAACAGGAGAGAGATGCAGAGGGAGGGGTGGATGGAGTGATTTTGAGATAAAGTTGTGTGTCGTCAGCATAGCAATGGAAGTGAATTCCATGCCTGCTGACGACACACCCGAGGGGAAGCATGTACATGGTGAAGAGGGTGGGACCAAGCACGGAGCCCTGCGGGACCCCACAGGTGACAGAGTGGGGGCGAGATTTAGCGTCCCCCAGAACCACATGCTCGGTTCGGTCAGTGAGGTAGGAGTGAAACCAGTGGAGGGCAGTGTGGGAGAGGCCAATGTGGTGCTGGAGACGATGTAAAAGGATGTTATGGTCAATGGTGTCGAACGCAGCAGTGAGGTCGAGAAGAATGAGGATGGAAGTGGAACCGGAGTCAGAGGCCATGAGAAGGTCATTGGTCACTCTGATGAGCGCTGTTTCTGTGCTGTGGGAGGGGCGGAAACCAGATTGGAATTTTTCATAGAGACTATTTGATTTGAGATGATTATGGAGTTGAGTGGAGACTGCTCTTTCGAGGATTTTGGAAATGAATGGAAGGTTTGAGACAGGACGGTAATGGGAGAGGGGCACAGGGTCAAGAGTGGGTTTTTTAAGTAATGGTTTTATGAGAGCTGTTTTGAGGGAGGGTGGAATGGTGCCAGTACCAAGGGAGAGATTGATAATTTTGGTTATTGTGGGACTGATGAATTTGGAGTAGGTTTTGAGCAGAGGGGTAGGGAGTGGGTCCAAGGAGCAGGTGGATGGTTTAGAGGTATGAATGATCTTCTCGACCTCCTGCTGCGTCATGGGTGTGAAATGAGAGAGACTATGTGATGAGGGGGATTTTGAAATGCCTAGGGAAGAATCTTGTGTAGCTGTGAGGGTGGAACGGATGTTGTCAATTTTGGAAGTGAAAAAATCAAGGAAGTTATTGCAATTCGTTACTGTTGGGGTGTGATGGGAACGCAACTGAGGTTTGAGAAGATGTTGTATGGTGGAGAAAAGTTTTTTGGAATTACCTGGGTTATTGTTAATGATTGTGGAGAAATGACCTGACCTTGCTGATGAGAGTGCTTTTGCGTAGGATTTCTGATGTTCCCGGTAGGCCAACTTATGCACCGTCAGCCCACATGTAGTATAGGCCCGCTCCAGGACACGGCCTGACCTTTTCATGGCCCTGTGCTGGTTGGTGTACCAGGGAGCTGAGCGGGTGAAGTTGACAGTCCGGGTCTTCAGTGGGGCATGAATGTCCAGAATGGAGCTGAGGCTGTTGTTGTAGTGGTCCATTAGGTCTGCTGCTGAAGATTCCGGGGGAGCTGAAAGAAGTTGAAGGTCGTGTTCGAAGGAGACAGGGTTAATGTTTTTAATGTTCCGAAAAGTGATATGTCGTTTTTGTTTGTCGAGATGGGAGGATGTGGGAACTGTGAAGGAAGTGACTAGATGGTCAGAGACACCAATGTCATACACCTGCAGGTCAGTGATTGGGATGGAGTCTGTGATAACCAAGTCCAGTGTGTGACCTTTATTGTGGGTGGGACAGTTGATGAGTTGTTTTAGATTTAGACAGTCCAAAACCTGATTAAATTCAGTGGTGAGTCGACAGGTCAGCAAGTCCATGTGTATATTGATGTCACCAGTGATTAGGATGTTTTTGTAGGATGAGCAGAGTGAGCTGAGAAAGTCATGGATGTCTGAAATGAAAGATGGCTGTGGTTTGGGGGGGCGGTAGATCAGGGCTATTGTAGCAGTAAGTGGATGTTTACAGTTAAAGACCAAGCTTTCGAATGAAGATGTTGATGGGGTTGGAAGAGGGGATAGATGAAGGGTGCTGCGATATAAAACAGCTAGGCCCCCACCGCGGCCAGTAGTGCGGGCCTTATGTAGGTACGAATACCCTGGGGGGCAGGCCTCGTTGAGGGCAGAGAAGACCCCTGGCTGTTGCCATGTCTCACTGAGGCACATAATGTCTATATCCCTCTCCGAAATGTGGTCATGGATAAGTCCAGCTTTATTTGACAGAGACCGAACATTAAGTTGTTCAATTGTCATGGTTCTTTTTGAATCCAGTCCGCTTAGGGGGCGCAGAACACTGTTGTCCACTCCGGGATTTCTCTCGCTCCTTTTATGAGCTCTGTGTGTGGCAGTGCTCTGATGACGTGTGAGAGTGTGACGTCGTCGAAGTGCGCCATGTTGTGCAGACCACAGGGATGCTATGGAGTTTTCGCCGCCGTGTTTCAGGACTGTGAACCGGCGGCCCGATCCTCTGTGGATGTAACGTTGTCTGCGTGGAAGGTCCAGTGGTGGTGATCGTGGAGATGGACTGTTGTTATGGAGGCGCCACGTCCGAGTCGATGAGCCGGCCGGCACGATGGTGGAGGTACCGCTGCTAGTTGTTGTTAGCGTTAGCCACATACCCGGTGAGCTGCACCCGACAATCGACAGACAGGTGAGGAAAACGATCCACAGCCTCCACCGTGGTGATGAGGGGCTCCAGGAGAACATGCAGCGGAGGTCCTCCAGAGACTGACCCACTGTGGGAGACCCGGGTTTGGATTTCGGGCTCCCGATGAGTCCGTAGCGTGATGGCATCGGCCGCTTTGGACTATGCCGGACAAGTCCAGGTTAGTGTCGGGAAACCAGGTTTAGAAATAATCAACACTCCGGTAGAATTGAGTGTTAAGAGTCTACTGTCGTATTTAGCTGAAAAACGACAGTAGTTTTAGCAGGATTTTCACGGATTTGCAGAGAAGCGGCGAGCAGTCAACGCCAGCGTCCTCTCTCTCTCTCTATTCATACACAAGAATAAACATGTGCAACAGAACCACTATTCTAAGCCATAGACTGTCACTGTTGTTGGAGGTAGTGACATCTATCTCTGTTGTTGAATAATATATTTAAAAATAGAAAAGGATCAGCAATGCCAGGGCAAATGTTCCCAAATTAATTAAAAAGTGCATTAAGGTGCACAGATCCGTTAATCATAGGAGGCAGAGGCAGACATAAGTTACTTTGTTTTCTCACATACTTTGTATAATTTTTGTTCATGTTCCAGGTTTGTTTTAAGTTTCCACATGTTCACAAGTGTACGTCTTCTTCAGGAGCACAGGTGAACCCACACAAAACAAATAGCGGGAAAGAATACAGGAGAAACAGTGGTGGGTCGTGATGTGGCCAGTCCCCAGCCTGACAAGTAGTTGTTTATTCTGAACAACCACTTTGCTTTCTGAATGCAACAGAAAAAAACCTTCTTTAGGGCAATGCTGAACATGCACCCTTGACAGGTGACGGTTTTCAGACCCTGACCCACAGCCGGCTACGACACTCTCAGTCCCCAGCAACAAGGGCGTCCGCCAAAGCAACAGGTCAGCAAGGCAAACTAAAAACACTTGTCACTTTTGTTGTACATAATTATTGTCACTTTATTGTACATATATCCTGCATGTAACATGTTTGCACATTTCCTCTCTTTGCACAATCTGAGTGTCTCTATCCATGCCAAATGTGACATGTAAATTTCTCCTCTGTGAGATCAATCATCAATCAATCAAAGTTTATTTGTAGAGCGCCTTTCATGCACAGGGCAACACAAAGCGCTTCACAGTCCACATCACAAATCATCACATAAAACAAACACCAGAATCACAATTAAAACATTAAAATCACACAAAAGATTAAAACACAATTAAAACATTAAAATCACACAAAAGAATAAAACCATTAAAACTTTCAAAATTACACAAGAAATTTAAAAAAATTAATAAATGACAGCAGTGCATTAGAAATGGAGATAAAATCCTTCAGTTGTATGCACAGGCAAACAGAACAGTCTTTAACCTGGATTTGAACATTGACAGAGTAGACGCCTCCCTCACATTTTCAGGGAGATTGTTCCAGATCTTAGCTGCATGGATCTGAAACGCAGCCTCCCCATGTTTGGTTCTCACTCTGGGCACCAGCAGGAGGCCAGTCCCTGTGCTCCTCAGAGTCCGGGCCGGTTCATATGACACCAACATGTCACTAATGTATTCTGGTGCAAGGCCATGGAGAAACTTGTACACAAGCAGAGCTGTTTTAAAATCTATTCTTTGAGCCACAGGAAGCCAGTGCAGAGACCTGAGGACCGGACTAATATGGTCATACTTCCTGGTTCCTGTCAGGACTCTAGCTGCTGCATTTTGGATGTACTGCAGCTGCTTACAGGTCTGTTTGGACAGACCTGTAAGCAGGCCATTGCAGTAGTCTAGCCTGCTGGAGACAAATGCATGGACAAGAATCTCCAAGTCTGCCCTGGACACTATATTTCTAACTTTGGCAATGTTCTTCAGATGGTAAAAAGCTGTTGATGTTATTGATTTTATGTGGCTATTGAAATTTAGGTCTGAGTCCAGTATTACCCCCAAATTTCTGACCTTGTCTGAAGGAAGTAGGGAGAGAGACTGAAGTTGACAAATGACGCCCTCTCTTTGTTTCTGGGGACCAAAGACAATGATTTCGGTTTTGTCTGCATTTAGCTGGAGGAAATTATTTTGCATCCAGTCACTGATCTGTTGGATACAGTGAAGGAGCAGATCCAGTGGTCCATGTTCTCCTGCAGTCAGTGAGACATAGATCTGAGTGTCGTCGGCGTAATTGTGGTAGGACACTTTGTTTCTTTGTATTAACTGACCTAACGGCAGCATGTAGAGATTAAATAGGAGAGGTCCCAGGATCGACCCCTGTGGTACTCCACAGGTCAGGGCCACATGATCTGAGACGCAGTCTCCAATCTCCACAAAGTACTTCCTATCCTCCAGGTAAGACCTAAACCAGTCTAGGGCTGTGCCAGTGACACCAACCCAGTCCTCCAGTCTCTGCATGAGGATCTCATGGTCGACAGTGTCGAACGCGGCACTAAGATCTAACATGACCAAAACTGTGACTTTACCTGCATCAGTGTGAAGTCGAATGTCGTTTGTTACCTTCACTAGAGCGGTCTCAGTGCTGTGGTGGGGTCTAAACCCAGACTGGAACATATCAAAAGAATTATTCATTGTTAAAAATTCAGTAAGTTGTTGGGAGGCCACTTTTTCAAGAATTTTTCCAATGAATGGCAGATTCGATATGGGGCGATAATTTTGAAGTCCCGCAGGATCCAGACTGCTCTTTTTCAGGAGAGGTCTTATGACTGCTGTTTTTAGGGCCATAGGAAATGTTCCTGACGACAGAGACATGTTTACTATTTGTGTCAGTGAAGGTAACAAACTGCTCAGGACGGACTTCAGAAATTTAGAGGGCAATATATCCAGGCCACATGTGGAGGAGCTCAGACTCATGATTATCTTTTTGACGGTTTCAGTATCCACAGGTGCAAAGTGAGTTAGCTCAAAAAGCTTCTCTGGCTGTTGCATTGTTATACGTGCTGTGGAGGTGATAGTGTTTTTGATTCCTTGTACTTTATCATCGAAAAACTGTGCGAACTCATTACACCTAGATTTAGAGGAAAATTCTAGGGGCAACTTTACAGGGGGGTTTGTTAATCTACCAACTGTTGAAAACATAACACGAAAATTGTTACTGCAACCTCCAATAATGTCAGAAAAATACATTTCTCTTGTTCTACGTAGAACCCGGTTAAATTCACCCAACTCATCTTTAAAGATTTCATAATCGCCCTGGAAATTGGACTTTCGCCACTTCCGTTCGGCCCTCCGGCACTCTTGCTTCTGTGCCCGAGTCTGCCTTAGTCCATGGGGCCTTTTTCTTACTGGTAACTATTTTAACCGTCACAGGAGCAATGGCGTCCAGAACAGTCAGAACACTGGTGGTGACAGAGTTATACAATTCATCAACAGTAGAGCATGGAGTTTTCTCAAAATTTAGCATTCCCATGAACAGTTCACTTGTGTTTTCATGTATGTGTCTTCTTCTAACAATTGTAAATTCAGCTGGTGGTTTGCTAGCAAAACACATGTCAAAAAATACACAGAAATGATCTGACAAAGCAACATCAACTACATTAACATTTGATACATTAACCCCCTTTGTAATTAGCAGGTCAAGAGTGTGCCCCCTGCTGTGGGTGGGGCCACTCACGTGCTGAATGAAACCAAAGGTCTCAAATACAGAAGCCAGCTCCTTTGCATTTCTGTCATCAACATTATCAACATGTACATTAAAATCACCTGTAATAACTAAACTATCAAAATCTGTGCACACGAATGAAAGTAGTTCAGTAAAATGGTCAATAAAATTGCAACATGACTGTGGTGGCCTGTACAGGACAATGAAAAGAGTAGAAGATTGCTTTTGTTCCATTTTAAAAGAAATATACTCAAACGATGAAAAATTTCCAAGGGGCATTCTATGGGAGACAAAGTGCTCTCTAAAAACTGCAGCTATGCCTCCCCCCCTTTTGTTTTCTCGTATTTCGGATTCGAATTTAAAATTGGGTGGTGTTGCTTCTATTAGAACTGCATTTCCTGTATTTTGGTCCAGCCATGTTTCAGCCATAAGCATAAAATCAAGATCATAAGAAGTGATAAAATTATTAATTAAAAATGATTTGTTACATAGAGATCTGACATTAAGCATAGCAAGTTTAAAAATAATGTCAGAGTCGATTAATGTGGTTGATTGATTTCTACAGGGAACAGAAATTAGATTTGCAGAGTTGGACCGTCTGACTGCTGTCCTGTTTTGATTTCGTTTTTTAGAATTTAAAAACATTTTTGAGCTGGTGCGAGGAACACACACAGTCTCAATTGGCCTAAAATGTGAAAACCCTTGTTGTTCTTTAGCTCCCAGAGTCAGAAGGGAGTCAGCACAGTTCAGTGTTTGGACTGGTAATGCACTGCCAGACGGACAGGGAGCAGTGTTTGCACCGTTGTACTCACCCGGTGCTGGTGAGGAGGAGGCGGGGGAGTGCGGTGGGGTCCGAGGGGGCTCAGATGTAAACAGTCACGCCCCCCTCGGGGAACGCTGAACAACATGGCGCATGTAGTCCATCAACAGGCTGCTACCGTATCTGTTTGGGTGTAATCCGTCTGGACGATAGGCTTCGTAACGTTTCCAGAAAAGGGCAAAGTTATTCACAAAGACAAAGTTAAAAGAGCTGCATGTAGCCTGGATCCACATATGCAGCGCCACAACACGACTGTAGAGGCAGTCACCTCTGTTTACAGTCGGGATTGGACCAGAAATAAAAACAGATAGTCCGGAGGATTGAAGGAGGTGGAACAGATCCATAAAATGTTTCTTGTGGACTTCTGACTGCTGAAGTTTCATGTCGTTAATTCCCACATGCACGACTACCTTGGAAACGGTATCAGGCAGGGACTGAAGCAGAGGAGGGAGACGTATGAGCAGGTCTGGTACAGTAGCTCCGGGAATACAGCGAGTGACCGCGTTAAAGAAGCGGACGTGTCTCACGATGGAATCTCCAATAATCAGAGTGGTCGGGGCGAAGAGTGGACGTGGACGCGGCCTCGGAGAAGGAGCTCGGTGGACGGAACCAGCGGGTTCACCCGAAGCAGGACCCGAGCCTGAGCGCCGCTGAACACATGGAGAGGAGGAGCGGGGGTGCTGACTCTCAGCTACAGGCGACCCACGCTGTGTGCTCGGGGACGCTGGAGCGGTGAGAGGGGCTGGCTCTGGGCGCTGCTGCTGACCCGGTGGAGGTGAGCGGTGGTAATGATGGCTCGCTACCCCAGTCTGAGGCTGCTGCACTGGGGTCAAAGAAGGGGAACAGGCCAACATGGCCGGTGGACCGCTCTTTCGCCTGAGGACTGCTTCCTTTAGGAGCGTTTTCCTCGTAGTGGACTTGGATCCTCGAGCAGTAGAGTACGCTGCAGTGTCCAGGGATTCTGCTGAGGGGGCCGGGATGTCAGTGGAGAGGGCTGCATAGCGGTTTGCCAGACTCAGGACATGGGCCACGGCGCAGGATGGCTCCTCGGAATCCGCGGGCTCGTTATTCGGAACCGGGCGCTTAGGTGTAGAACAGGAGGGTCCGGAGCTGACGGATCTCTCCCACACGACAGTGTCACAATATGCAGCGCTCAGTGACATAAGCCGTGAATGCTGCCCACCAGCGACTTCAAAAAGTTTGGACACTAGAGATTGTTTCTCATTCAACTCTGCGGTGAGACGAAGGACTTCTTTTCGTAGTTCTGCAATGGTGGCACGGTCGCTCTCACGGAGCTCCAAGGTGAGGCGACTAATATTGTGCATGTTTGAGCCAATTTCATTGTCACTTTCCATGTCCTCGTTAGCTTGTGTTAGCCTCTGTGCTACTAGTGGGTTTCAGTCGGGACTAAGCGCTATTTGCTGAAACCACTGAATTAATAAGATAAAACACTCAGATATATTAAAAAACTGAACAATAAAAACGCGCTAAAAAGTTGTTAAAAGTTTACTAAAAAGGTGCACAGAGCAGCCCTGCAGTACTGCTTCAATAGTATACAATAGTATTACAGTAATACACTTTAGGTAACATCAGCAGGTAGTGTAGCAGATAAATAAAGCAATCTTATCTTATCTTATCTTAAAAGCACTCGTGCGGCACTGCAATAACATTGGACCTTTTTTATAGTAATGTGTACAGTAGAATACTACCCGGAGCAGAGAAGAATGGCACGGCCCAGCGCCGGAGACGGAAGTGCAGATGTAATGAGATGACAAGAGCTAACATTTATACTTTCATGCTCCCTCTACTGGACACAATTAAATAATGGCCAAGTTCAACCACAAACTGGTAATGTGTTTTTTTGCTTCGTCAGAGAGTTCACCATGTATTAATAAATGGAACATACATTTGACAGTCTTAAAAAACATTTATGAACATGGTCCATAAATGGTCTTCTTCCCCTTTTGGACCAATAGCTCTATGTGTTTTTATCATTGCATTTCCTGTGTTTGAACTGTTTGATTTTCTGATCTGTGTTAAATCAACAACTTTGTAAAGTTCTGCAAGATAACTACAGTTGTGTTTAGGGCTATACAAGAATAAATTGAATTGAATAAAATTGTTTCAACCTGCACAGACTTGTTAGTCCATACCACTTCGTACATAACGGAAGTCAGCATGACCATATTAGATAGATACTTTATTGATCCCCGTAGGAGAAATTCAGTTACGTCGTGCATTTGTCCCATGTCCATTTTGTGAAGGCCGGTTCCCAAATTTATTCAGTTAACAATTCAAGTAAAATCAACAAAATTTTAACCAGCCATTTTGCAGTGTATTGCTCTGCACTAAGTTATTTTAGAAGAGCCATATCATGATGTGACCTTGTAGACAGTAACCAGGACATAGCTGTGCAATCAGAAAAGCTGTTACTGTATGTTCCTCTGGATGGCGCTGCACAATAATCATGAACACCATAGAGGGGGAAATACACACAAATATGTATGTAAAACTACCATATATTTGTTATTTTAAAGAATAGATGTATTTTTAAGCCATGTAAATGTGAAAGAGTATACAGACTCAGGTGTGAATCCAAGAGAAATTGCACTGGGATCGATGTCTCTCCAACCGCATGAGCCGCTCCAACACATAGTCGCCAGGGGAGAGGTGTCGTCACATGGGGATGTCGTCTCACTCGCTGAAACAGAACAAAAGATGGATCACACTTTGGATATTTGGCGACGGGAGCCTTCTTTTCACACCCACTGTTGATTCTCCAGAGCATCAGGCCGGGATCACAGGCGACACAGGCCAATTGTGTCAGAAAAACACTACATTTGCATGGTCTCTCTGTGCCATACAGGTTCTCTTAAGATTGTTATGGGAATATGGTGCAAAAGAACATATGGGGTGTATTAATATGTGACAATGTAATATAAGATAACATTATTCGTCCCACAATGGGGAAATTTTAATGTCATCGTTACAGCAGAATAAATAAAGAAAAAAGAGAGAACTCAGGTTCATCCAACGGGATATTTTATTTATGATAATAGATGATGAAAATTTAAAATATTTTGTCTGTTGGTTTCGTACACATAGTAACCGTGTATATATATTTCAAACAAGCAATGATGAAGGCCCCCAGCCTTACCGACACATGGTAAGGACAGAAAATGTGATACAACTGTCAATAATGCATGCTACTTATGCAGCGCTTTCACAACACTTAAAGAGGCTTCACATGGCATTATTCATACTCAGTGGTGGTGAACCAAGCAGAACCGAGGTAACTAGTGTATGCTAACGGGTTCCTACAACCACAGTTGATTCTCACACACACCAGATTCATTTCAAAGCAATGTGGATGAAGTGTCATGCCTCAGAACACAACAGCAATTTGGCACTTTACACTGTGCTGGCACCTGTTGTTCCCAAAGGTCCCCCATCACACTACGAACCAGGCCCTGCCCTGCTTCACTGCTGCGTTCTTAAGATCTGACGGGATCACGCTTTCTCAGCACAATTGTGAATAACACAACCTGAAAGCATTCATTAATGATCCTTTGTTGATCGATAACACAGTTTCAGCAAATGCAACAATGTGATATATTTTCATTAAGATTTGGAATTTAAGCCGTGCAGATGTGCAGCAGGCCTTGAGGGAGGATTTGCTCTGAAACATTTCAGAGACCTCATCGGATTGGACAATGACCTCTGGATTGAGGCCAAAACATGAATCTGTAAATGTGAAGGCCCCCCCCAAAAATCCAATCATCCATATTTGAGAGAAGTGTCGACTTAACCTGTCTTCATCAGGTAGACGTCAGAGTATTTGGTGTTGAATAACCGTTACAGACTGTACAGATGTGATGCATTCTTCTTAATAACAGATTTGAATTGGTAATTTTAGTTTCACTGACGGTAGATCGGGAGGAAATGCTTTTGAATTGTGAACACCTCTCTCTTAATAATCATTATTTCATTATCATTATGGAAATATGGAGGCAACATGTGTAAAAAGTCATGTAAAAAAAAGGAACGTAAACATTGCAAATACTTAGGATTTAAAAAATTGTGATTGTAATAAATATGAATATTCTCAATTTCTTGGCATTTAATATATTTACTCTGTTACTTGTTTTCCCATATCTTTCCAAATACTACATTGTAAAATATCCATCAGTGCCACTTGATTACATATCAAGTGGGCCTTCTTATCTTTCAGATTTGCTTTTATCCTATGAACCTTCCCGGCCCCTGCGCTCCTCCGGCAGCAGACTCCTAACCATCCCCAAAGTCAGGACACACACTCACGGCGAGGCATCTTTCCAGCACTACGGCCCCCGTCTCTGGAACAGTCTGCCGGAGGAGCTCAGGGTCGCAGAGAACGTTCATATTTTTAAAAGCAGGCTCAAGACACACTTTTTTAGATTAGCTTTTGATTAGTTTTTATTATTCAATTCTATTTATCTTTTATTATTTATTATATTGCTATTGCTATTATTCATGTATTGTGTGTTCCTTTTAGTCTCACATTTTAGTGTTTTACTTATTGTATTGTTTTTAGTGTACCCAGTGTTTCCTCTGGAGGAGCCCTCTGCACCGGGAGCAGTGGTCGGTGTGGCTGCGGGGGTCGAACTCTTGGGCCTGGTGGGGGCCTGGGGCCTCGGTTTCATGTCTCCTCTGGGTCCTGTGTTGTCCCCTGTGGCTACGGGCGGCTCTCTGCTCCTGGTGCAGACGGCTCCTTGGATGACGCTTTTTCAGCTGGTTGCATCTGAACCCTGCCAAGTCTCTCATCATGGTTTTATTGTTTTACTGGTGTGTGTGTGTGTGTGTGTGTGTGTGTGTGTGTATATGAGTGTTCATGAGCGCGTGTGTGTGTTTGTCTGTGGTTTGGGGTGGGTCTGTTGGGTGGTCTGGGGGAGGGGTCTTGGGTCGGCGGGATTGTTTTTAACCAAACTGTAAAGCACTTTGTGTTGCATCTTTTGTATGAAAAGCGCTTTATAAATAAAATTTGATTGATTGATTGATTGATATGATTTACATGGTATTGCCAATGGAACAATTTAGCCGGGTATACAGTAGCTGTATTGGCGCTGGCGTGGTGAGCAGGCCGCCAGAACCTCAGCAGAATAGCTTATCTCAGTAAATCAAACGTGAATGTTTCCACTTTTCCGACATCAGCTCATTTCCTCCCCTCCTTCTCGCTCTATCTTGTCTGTTTTCCCTCTACAGTCGCCTCTGAAGCTGGAGTGTTTGGAGGGACCCAGCGGTGCTTTTGTCTGGAGGCGATCCGCACCACAGGACTCTGCATGTCCGATGCCATTTTCTCTCACAAATGTGATTGCTGCAAAGACATGGAAACCATATCGCATCATGTGCCTCATGGGGCGCCCAAATGAATATTTCCTCCTCTATTTACAGTTCAGTTTACATCAGCAGCGCGTAGTTATAACTCTATCAGACAGAAGTAGCCAGGACAACACGCCTGCAGATTCTGATTATATTTAGTCAATAATATATTCTTATTATTTTTATGAAAAATAAAACAATGAACAAGATACAAAATACACAGTTTGAAATAGGGTTGGACAAAGTTGGCTCCAACTGCTCCCACTAATGTCTGCTGTCGTTGTGTCCTTGGGCAAGACACTGAACCCCACTTTGCCTGAAGCTCCTGCTGAAACACCAAGGCCATGGCACCACTGATGTTGCAGCCATCTTCCTGCGGACTCACCACCTGCAGAGGATCAGCGAGGGACTGGTGCTTTGAGCATTGGCAGCTCTCACTGCCACCCCCCCCCCGACCCAGAAATGGACTAATAAAGGGGTAGAAAATTAATGAATGAAAGTTGACTCCATCCCCTCTGAATGAATGAATGAATGAATGATTATTTAAAAACAATCTTATGCTCTGAGGTAAATTCTGGACAGAATTTCAGGGCACGGCCAAGGGCCAGAGGGGTCTGGACTACAGGAACTCATCTCTGCGAGGAAACCTGTTGGCTTGGATATGGCCTGTTGGCTTCAACACACTGGGACGGTTTGCAGCCGAGAGCAAACAGGAGCAGCAGGCACACCAATCATTTCCTCAAGCAAGTCCAGTCTTAACCTGAAAACTTGAGGAAATGGGTGGAGTCTGGTGTGCTCCTGATTGGTTGAAAATAAAACCTGCAGTCACATTTTTGTTTTTAACAAGGGAGATTGGATCTTTTATGAGACTTTTGGTGCAATTATTTTCAAACTGAGCTGATCATTACAACTTCCACTTGATGTTTGGTTACCTGAAAGTCAAAGCTAACATAACTATTAGTGCTGTGGCAGATGCTGAGAGGAGCGTTCTTGTTTTTTTCTCACATATAACCATGGACACGCAGTCATTCTTCTGCAGTGACACGACCCCAGACCGCCGCATATTTTGTCGTTTTCTTCGGGAGCAATGTTGTAACGGTTAAAAAAAAAAGTTTCTCCTTTAACGACTAATCATTCAAGTGCCTCCTGTGTTGCTTCTGTGCTACTTGTGTGTTGCTTGTGGTGTGACGAGAGGCTGCAGTGTCTCCCTCGTGCCTGTGTGTACGTGTTAGGTTGGATTCACACACACAGGTGTTGTTTGCCGATGGGGAGGTGAAAAACAGAGCTGCTAATGAACATGCTGCATATTTCACTCGGAGCGATTGTCATCACTTCCAACATGAAACTAATCTAAACGCTATGGGATATTACAACTTCTCACTTTGCCTTCCTGTACGAGGCCCCATGACAAAAAAAAAATACCTGTGTAAATTTAAGTGCGTTTGGCAGGTTGCTATTTCCCCTATCCTATACCACGGAAAATATGTACCATAGTTTCACAGTGTTTTACTACTTCCCTATTCGGAGCTCTCCATGGTGCTAAGAGAAAAATATGTGTTCAAACACAGTGGAAGGAATTATGTTTTGTTGCGTGTGTTTCTTTGTCGGAGTGATGGGTGTTTATGTTTGTTAAAAAAGAAAATATAACAAAAAGTACAATAGAACAGAAATGTTTCATGAGCGAGGAACTATTATTTAAATGTTAGTGGTTTGAAAGTCAGGAACAACAGCTTATATAAATGAATCACTGAAATCAATGTAAATAAAGAATTGCCCTGTCCATGAGCAGTTTGCCTATATTTTGGTAAAATATTGATTTATTTCAGTGCAATAAAAACACCTGAACAACAGCGCAATTACAAGACTATTTCTTTCCTCTTCTTTCAACAGCATCTTGTCCAACAGGCTCCTTCTATCCCTGAGAGAAAACACATATTTATACTACAGTCCTGGCTTTATCTGGGACGCTGTGTGCTGGCCATTTTATAAATACCCTCATCTCTTTTGTTCTGCCTGTGTCTGTGATGGTCCTTGATATAGAATTGAAATTTCTGAAATTTCCTTTAATAAATATAAATGGTATCTACCATGAGTGGAAAGTTAGCATTTAGAAGTAATTTAGGTGGCAATTGTGCTCTAGATGCTGTGATTGAGTATAATTCTAGCCTAGTTATTGTAATTAAATGCATCTGTAAATGAGCACAGTACAAGTCTCCACTGTCCTATTCACACTTCCCTCTCTATATTTAGCTGCTATTCTAAAAGATGAACTTCTCTAATTACACGGTACTAAAATACTATGTTATTCTATTTTTTTGGAGATGTCGGAAATTATAGTCATTTTTCATCATTTCAAAACGTTACTTTTCATTGGATTGCCTTAATATCCCCAGTGTTTCCTCTGGAGGAGCCATCTGCACTGGGAGAGTGGGAGAGGTGGTGGGCTGTGGCTGTGGGGGTCTGGACCTGGTGGAGGTTTGGAGACTTAAGTTGCAGGTCATATCCATAAATCCTTTGTTAGGAGTGGAGTACCGAGGGCTGATGTATCCTTAGAGATATTATATGTTTTTATTTTTTTCATTTTCTGGAATATGCTGGTGATTACCCCATGAATGTATATCTCATATCTGCATTTACAAAGCCCAAAATAATGAGTGTAACACAAACGGGTACTGAGCTGTAGAAGCCAAGGTGAGTTGGAGCAAAACTCTGTCCATGAGCACTGCCCTACAGGGCTTCATTGAGCTGGGGGGGTTGTGGTTATGTGTAGCCATATTGTCTATTATGTAATTATGACATAATTCAGCCGATCTGTGGAGAGTGGGATGTATAGCAGACTCCAGCGCCCCAAGTTGCGCAATACACCATGCTGTGCAGCCCTTCTAAAGCTTTTCATGTATTCTTATGAGAGAAGGAGGCGATGAACACGGAACCATGAAAAGTACATTGTGCAGTATAAAAAGTTCAAACCACCACAGAATGTTCTCCACAGAGATGTATATGTTTGCTTGTTCTGCAAAAAAAATCCAAAGGCAGGACACAGGCAGAAGATCCGACTCTAGGATACAATCCCACTCACAGTTACAGGTATGAGTGTGAACAAAACAACCCAATCGGAGTCTTATTGACAGTGAGGATTTAAGGTCAGTTGATCTGCAGCAATAGTTTGTTCTCTTACTCAAATGTGAATGTGCTGTATAGTCTATCCATTACAACACATGGCAATTGAAAATATAAACCTCCCCACTAGCGGCATAAGTGCTGGCATCTTCATAAAGAAGTGTTTATCTTTTTGTTCAAGGACCACAGCCTCACAAAAAAAAACACATTGAGTAAATTTGAGTAAGATGGCTTTAAAAAATGTGGACTTAATGTTTTTATTTTATTCTAGAAAAGAACTGTTGTGTTGGCCAATGTGGGTTTTTCTTTATACTTTACATTTTAATAAACTAAATAAATATAATTAAATGCAAACAGAGATTTGATTGACAAAAATATGTATACAACAATTTAAAATATAAATAAAATAAAACAGAAAAACAAAAACAAAAGAAGACTCAAAATGCAGGACTGATAAATAATATCTCATTCAACCAAATCTAAAAAACCAAACGAAACAGGGGACAAATTGACGGACAAAAAAAGAGTGGAGCACACACATTCCATCCTGAAAGTGTTCAACCCCCTTTGCTTTTTATAAATTCTGCAAGTCTTATTCCAAAATCTTGTCCTGTCATTCTCAGTGCCCTATTATAACCAGTGGGGCAGGGTCCCAGCTCAAAAGTGGCCAAAACGACGTGCGCTGACAAGCTTGCAATACCACCCTGGGCCGATGGGGGTGGACCCAGAAGAAGAATTAGCCAATGCTAACATATAGCGTTGGCAGACCTCTCAAAAACGTCTTTACAGGATGGACCAAAAGTTGGCTCTCGGCCCAAAGCTCCGTTCCACATGTGTGTCAATGCTGAGGGGGGTGAATCTTTTTGGTCCACTCTAGTTTACTTGTTGTGAATTTTTCAAGTCTCTCGTTCAAATGAATGGAGTTGCGCCGGCTGACGCATGCGCAGATGAGTTTTTTCACAATTTTCTTGTGGGCGGGACCACTCGCGACAGTTTTGGATTGCTCCAGTAGAGCACATTTTTTGGCCCATTAGTTAGAACGGCAGAGATAGGCGTGACTCTGTCCATTAATATATACAGTCTATGATTATAACCAAGTGAACAATGTTTTTAGGCATGTCTTTGCCATTTGTTCAAACTTTTGCGACAGATTTGACTTAAGGCACAGATTTGGTGAGGAATAAAACATGTGCGTTGAAGGTCCTGAAGAGCAGAGTGGCCTCCATCATTGGAAAATGTATCATTTAAAAACCACCAGGATTCTTCCCAGAGAGGGAGGTGACCAAGAACCTAATGGTCATTCTCTGCATAAAGAGTGCTGAAGAGAAAATGGGACCCTTCCAGAAGGAAAACATCAGTCCATCACTTCACCAATCAGGCCTTTGCTGAAGAAGACGCTCATCCACATAAAGCGCATATGACTCTTGAAGTCTGCATGTGAGTCGGCGTGTATGTGACCCTCTGAAAAGAATACATTATATTCTAAGGTCTGATAAAACTAAAATGGGACTTGAAGTGGAAATTTGAGACTGATGGCTGTCCTTTAGAAAGGTTCTCCCATTGACCTTCTAATTTGTAAACTTTGGAACTATTGCAAAAAAACTACAAAACAAATCAGATAAATAATCAGATTACTTTAGGTTTATGGTATGGAATATACAAAAATAAATTAACCAGTGTATTGAGAGCAAGTATGCAAGAATATTACGTCAACATATTATTTAAAAAGATACATTACAGCAAATAAAAATGGTAGATATTGAACACTGTTATTGGTATCCTGAGGGCTTTGTGAAGAGTTATGCAATTTTAAGGGACATAAAGACGATTGGAGACATCTTCAAAACTTTCTCTGTTGATGTAGGACCTGGACTG